AGATTATTTATGGCACATTTGTGACTTGGTACCTAAGATATGTAATATTGAGATTTGTTTGGTATGTAAGACATGTAATATTAAGATTGGTCAAAAGAGTACCCATGATTATATACTTCTTCTAGTTCACAGAGGAGCTTTGATCATGTTCTATCCTACACGGAGAGGTCTTAACCTAACTTTGGTCTTGATCATACACATATAGTTCACAGAGGGGACTTGGCCGTGTTCTAGAATTGATTACTAGAGGTTTTGAGACTAGCTTTCATTCAAAGAGGAGGCCAAAGGCGTGGCGAAAATTCTTAGCCCGATGGACGGATTACATATTTCAGTCAAATAGTACATTTTTTTGTGAATTTTTTCAGTACATTTAATGTGATGAGATTATAGTATGATTACTAGCTTATGTTTATATCATGATTTGAGATGATATTTTATGATGTTATGTGGATATCTCATGTTTTGATTATAATTATATAATGTTATCTTGTGAATGATTTAATTTTATGAATTCGATTTTCGATAAAAATGTAAAATGAAAAAGTATATTTATTTTCGAACTAGACTTACTGGGCTATCAACTCCTATATTTTTTCACGATTTTTCTTACATGTAGCAATTGATTCTTTTTAGCTATAAGAACCTAATAATTTCGGAATGAGAGCCACACAATATGTTGGGTGTTATAACTTATATTAATGAAGCACAAAGTAAATAATTTGAGCCCATCGCATTATGTTTTATATAAACATTTGATTTTTGTGCATTTTCAAAGTAACTCTTAGTCAGTTTTGGTGATAAATTTGACATCTAGTCAGCATCTATTATCGATGTACGTCACATTCAGGTCTACAAAGGTGATTCGGGATGAGTCGTGTCACTAGATTTTCTCCATTTCTAGAAAAAAAATTCATCTCAATATTAAGGTAGTGAGTGAATATAACATACATTGATCAAGATTTAATTATTATAAATTAAATTATTAATATTTTTCTATAATTATATATAAATATATATATTCAATCCTTTTATCATATTAATGTAAGAAAACGGTGTCATTCTGTCATTCAATATAGGAAAACAATATCGTTTTGTACTGTAAATTCAATGAAAAAAGGACAAATAAATTTTTTATTAGAAAATTCTTAAAATAGAGAAGAAAAAGAAGAAGTCTTGTTTGTGTGGGGGAAATGGAGTAAAGTGCGTGGATAGTTGTGTGAAGAATAGAAAAGACAGAAAGATGAAAGAGAAATGAAAACGATAGTTGCATGTGAAAGTTAATAAAGAGAAGAAAAAGAAATGAAAACGATGGTTACGTGTGAAGTATAACGCATAATAAAAAAAAATAGCAAACAATATCTGAGCATGACTCAATAGAAACAGTGCCATAACAAGTGCCTCATTTATTTTAATTAGGAAAAAATCATATGGTATTTTAAGATTAACATATTACCTCCGAGTATTTATTGCTTTAAACAGTTTATAGTATTTGTTGTGGATGAAACTCGCAAAACCCAATCACCTTATTCCCAAGCATGTATTTTATCAATCATGCGTACCTCGACACCATTATCCTTGAGTACTACATTCCTCAGTTTTGTGACTTGCAATATGGAAGTCCTCGAGTCTTACTGATCTCGAGATATTCACTTGGCCTACATCCTATCCTTGGTTGCTTGGCTTAATAGGGGTCTACTTCCCCCATATCCTACCTGGTATGTCCTAATTGCGTCAGCCTGAACTTCACTCTTTGAAGGGAGACGAGGACGCACCTCGACGCCTGTGTTATAGGTATTAGAGATTTTGTTAGTATTTATCTTCCTCCTCGAAGCTCGAGATTTCTCAAGTATAGATTTTTAGTAACATCCGTATCAATTGCCCCAAATTGAAATTTGATCTATTTCCATACTTCATAACCCTCAAAGAGTTCATGACTTTATGTTCTAGCCTCAAGCATAGTTATATTACTATTGGAGGAAAAATGTCGACATTTACATGCTTCTCGAGCTACATGATTAAATACACATGTTATATATCACATTACTCTTGAGGTTATTAGTCCTCTATTGGAAAATGATCTCATTGCTCCACATAACTAATATGCATAAACTTTTTGCAGGAGAAGTACAAGTCTAAATAGTCAAATACCTTGTGCACTCAAAAGTTTTGAAAAATGGATCACATAAATTTAATTTATATGTGTAAAACTGGAAATGGTCAAGTTCAGTTCGGTTCTAAAGAAAGCCGAACCGAACCGAACTCAAACTTTCGATTATTTAGTAAAGGGAACGGTCAAGTCCAAATTTAATTATAGAACCGTTCGGTTTCGATTCCATTTGATTTGGTTCGGTTCGGTTCAGTTCAGTTCCATTTGACTTCTGAGTTTACGTACAATAATTAATTTTTTTAATATTTGCAACAATGCTATATTAATTTAATCAATGACATGTTCAATTTTAGCTCTTGCAAAATAACTTAGTCGAATCTCGATATTTTTTGCGCTTCTCTTTGTTGATTTGTTAATAAATTTGATTATTAAAATCACATAAAGAGAAAGATAGCGATCACACAATAATGAAGAGATGTGCAACCGAGCTTCCAATATGATTTCCCCATAACGTCATAAACGACACTACAATTGAATAAGAGATCTGGGTAAAATTTAAGCCAATATGATTAAGTAGGGCTTGTGCATGAGTTGAAAATTAGAAGTAGGGAAATCATAGTTTGGGTTTGGGTTTAATTAATTAATTAAAAAATTTATTTAGAAAAAATAAAATAATTTGACTTAAGATAAAAAAAAAATTAGGAAGATGTAGTTCTTATTCGGTTCTCGGTTGATTCTTGATCTATAACTGAGAACTGAACCAAACATGTCAGCTCTCAATTTAGATACTTGTTTTGGTATTTAACTTAATACAAACTGCTCGGTTCGATTTAGTTCAGTTCAGGTGCGATTCGATCGGTTCGATTAGGTAATTTTGTCAAGTCCTACAAAAGTGTATACGCATTCTCTCAAATTCTCACAATATACTGATCTTTATCTTTGTTCCTAGTATTTTTACATTATTGAAATATAAAAATATTGGGAGTCGAAACCAATTTCTTGATTTGTGCACGTAATTCACGTTCGAAAAAATATTGGAAATAAAAAGGGTATGTTTGATTAGTACCATGAAATTGTTATGGAAAAAAAACACACACAAGTTCTTGCTAATTGAATTGAATAAATCTTATTTGCATAAAATTTATTAATTAAATATGTTTGATTGATTTAATTTTTAATCTACAAAATATTATACATGTCTATCTTTTATTGGTGAATAGATTAGAGAAAAAAAAAACGAATTACCTGAAAAATAAAAGTCTATTACTCCCTAAAGAAAATATTTTCCTTATTTTTGATAAAAATATGATCATATAACAAACTTTTGAAAATATTCTTTTATGAAATAAAATATCAATTAAACATCCGAAAAGTAGAAATTTAAGTGGAAGAATGATATTTTTCATGAAAAACAAAATCAATCAAACACATTTTTATAGAGATAAAGGAAAACAACAAAAGAATCTTCAAAACTGCAAAGACAATCCCAAAGTATCGAAGAAAATATTCCACATAAGAAAAAAAAATGTTTTTTTACTACGCCCACAAGGCGAAGAAGAAAATTTTAGGATGCTGCCCCCCAGGGCACTTCTCCACTGGCAAAGGACGGACACTGTCAAACCTGGCAGAGCAGAGGTCGTGAGTTCGAAACATGGGGCTCTTGGAAGGCAATGATTTATTCTTGGAAGGCAAGGGAACATTTGGAAGGCAAGGATTTATTCTTGGAAGGCAAGTGAGAACTTGGAAGGCAAGGATTATTCTTGGAAGGCAAGGTGCAACTTGGATTGGCTTGCTTGGCACTTTGTCAGACCAGGTGGGGAGCGCTCGGACCCTGGCCAGTTGGAGGCACATCCTGCGATTAACCGGACTGTGTGAAGAGGGGCCGGATCACAGACCCAAAGATTAGTCTAGAATAGGACACCTTGTAAAAAAAAAAAAAAAATTTTAGGATGCTAGTTAGCATATACAATTTTTATTCTCGATCAGGTACTCAATACAAGAACAATTGAAGTCACGGACGATTGCAATGTGATGTCGTTTTCCCCCTCCTTTTGGCATATTTTCCTTTAATAGAAAAGATATATTTTGGCTATTTTTTAAAAACAAATTTCCTACCAAAAATTATAGTTTCTATTAATAGAAATTAAAATTAGGTTTTTAGTATAATTTGATAAAAGTACATGATTGAAAAATTACCGAGTCCTCTAAAATTTAAATTTTAATCCTATTAAATATGTGCTTATTGTTTCTTTTAAAAAAAAAAGAAAAAAGAAAATGAAAGAGACCGAGTTTAAATTCACATTCACCTAAACTTTTTAGAAATTAAATTATTATGTTAACATGACAAATAGTCTTATTAACATTAACATTCTCAGCTGTTCTATATATATATATATAAATTTTTTGACCCCTCATCAAACCGTAAAAAGAATATGTAAATATTGATTTACAACAAGTATATTTTAGATGAATTTTGCTATTTGTACACTAAAGTACTTGTAAGCAAAATTGTACACTTGGATGTCAACTTTGATGTCACTTTGTGAAATCCTTTCTAGGCTCTCTACTGATTATTGATGTCCGTTTAACCTTACGGTGGTAATTAGCAGCTACTAATATATTATTTTCACGTACATGCAACAAAATAAACTGTATTTAGCCACTATTTGGCCCCCATTTCTCTTTTATTTTTTTCTATCTTATTTTTAAGTATACAATCTTTCATAAAATAATATTACACCTCGAAAATTTTTCCTCCTTTTTCAATTACATATTCTAAAAAATATATATATAATAATAAAATAAAATTATTCCAACCATTAAATTTTGAAATAAAAAAAGAAAAGAAAGGCCGAACCGGGGCTTACTTTCTCATTTCCCCCCATCTTTCTACGCAGCAGTTAACCTAACCTCAACCTCTGCTCCTCCAAGGATCCGACAACCCTAGTCCGAATGCAAGAGGAGATTCGAAAGATCCGGATACTGCTCCAGCAGAAACGGACTGAGACTGCAAAGAGTCTCCTCAAAAAACTAATTTCTTCGCATTCAGTTTCGCAACTCTACTCTCTTTACTCTCAATCCTCCAGCAAAGAACCCGTTTTCAATGACACTATTTTGTCAGTCTATGCTGATTCAAAGCTCCCCAATGAGGCCACCCAACTCTACAATTTAATACGGAAAGATGGTAATTTTCCTTCCCTTTCCGCTTTTAATTTGTTTCTGGAATCTTTGGTGGGTTCAAATCAATTTGAGAAGACGCTCGAGATATTTGCTGATGTTGTTGATTCTGGTATTTGGGTAGATAAATTTAGTTATGGGAAAGCTATACAATCTGCGGTGAAGTTGGGGGGTTTGAAAAGGGGCTTGGAGTTGATGAATCAGATGAAAAAATGTGGTTTGAATCCTAATGGATTTGTATATAATGTCTTGATTGGAGGATTATGCAAAGCGAAGAGAGTTTATGAGGCTCAGAAGCTCTTCGATGAAATGCTCAAGAGCAGAGTGGTGCCAAATAGAGTTACTTATAATAGTCTTATAGATGGGTATTGTAAAATGGGCGATTTAGATTTTGCATTTAATTTGAAGGAAAAGATGAAAATTGACAATGTGGAGCCCAATATTGTTACATATAATACGTTGCTTGGTGGGGTTTGTAGAATGGGGAGGATGGTGGAGGCAAATAGAATTATGGAGGAAATGGAGCTGATTGGGTTTGTGCCTGATGGGTTCACGTATAGTATACTGTTTGATGGGCATTCACGATGTGGAAATGCAGAGGCTTCAATGGCGTTGTATGAAGAGGCTGTAAAGAAAGGGGTGAGGATTAATGAGTACACTTGTAGCATTTTGTTGAATGGCTTCTGCAAGGAAGGGAATATGGATAAGGCCGAGGAGGTTTTGAAGAAGCTGAAGGAAAATGGGGTTGTTTTGACGGAGGTGATATTGAACACCATGGTGAATGGATATTGTAAAGTGGGTGATATGGACAAGGCACTTTCTGTTGTAGAAGAAATGGAAAATTTTGGGGTGAAACCAAGTTGCATCACATTCAATTCAGTAATCAACAAGTTCTGTGAGTTGTGTAAGATGGATGATGCCAATGAGTGGTTTAAGAAGATGAGGGAGAAGGGGATTTGTCCAAGTGTGCAGTCGTATAACATTCTAATTGACGGCTATGGCCGGAGTTGTCAGTTTGAGAAGTGTTTACAAATTCTTGAGGAAATGGAAAATAATGGGTTGAAGCCTAATGTCATATCCTATGGTTCTCTATTAAATTGTTTATGCAAGGATGGGCGACTTCTTGAAGCCGAAGTGCTTTTTAAGGATATGCTGAATAGAAGCATTTGGCCAAATGTGCAGATATATAATATACTTATAGATGGTCATTGCACCAGAGGAAATATAAGAGATGCTTTTAAATGTTTTGAGGAGATGTTAAGAAGTGATATAAGCCCTACCCTTGTGACATACAATGTACTCATTAATGGGCTCTGCAAAAAGGGTAAGTTTGCGGAAGCTGAAGACTTAGCCTGTCAGATTGCAAATAAAGGTTTAAGTCCAGACATTATCACATACAATACCTTAATCTATGGGTATTCAAATGCAGCTGAAACTGAGAAGTGTTTGGAGTTGTATGAAAAGATGAAAACATCAGGCTTAAAACCTACATTAAACACATATCATCCTCTAATAAGCATTTGTAAAAGGGAAGGACTACATCTTGTAGAGAAAATTATTCAAGAAATGGCCCAAATGAACGTGACTCCAGATCGAGTTGCATACAATGAGCTCATTCATTGCTGTGTAGTGCATGGAGATGTTCATAAGGCATTTTCCTTACATAGTGAGATGCTAAATCTGGGAATTACCCCTAACAATAAGACATATAATGGCTTGATTATGGGACGATTAGAAGAAAGGAAGTTTGCGGAAGCAAAGGATCTTTTTGATGGCATGAAAGAAAGAGGATTGGTTCCCAAGGACGACACTTTTAACATATTGATTGAGGGACATATCAAGTTTAAGGATATTGATGGGGCATACGTTTGGTACACCGAAATGCTGAAAGATGGTTTTCTACCAAATATTTCCATTTGTAACCAGCTAATCTCGGGCCTCAGAGAAGAAGGAAAATCAAAAGAGGCTGAGATTGTCTGCTCCAAGATGAGCGTTAAAGGAGTGGATGAGTGGAGTATTGATAAGGATTTTTCTACGGTTGCTATAATGTAGTCCAGGAATGTTACTACGTTTTAGTAGTTCAGCATTGGCAGTTTATTGCAAAAAAGTGGCACAGGTAATAAATTAAACTTCCGTGCTGCAATGAGAAGTTATACATATTGACGAGTTTACCGACCATTACCATTTATGCTGGCAAAGGCTGTTGTATTCTAGATGTGAATCCGACATACTGTTAGTTCATGCATGTTTACATATCTCATTTAGCTATTGGATTAGCTACAGTATAAAATGCCAGTGTTCTAAAAAGCTTGTATAGGCATCATCAAAGCACATGGCGTGGGCAAAACGCTTTGCCTTGACAGTGAGCACTAATTAAGCGGTCGAATGTTGCTTGACTAGATGTGCCCAGACGTGCCTAGGGACCCTTTATTAAATTTTTATTTTTTTATTTTTTTCCTTTTTTTAAAAAAAAAACTTTTTATTTGATTTTAGTTTATTAACTTATATAAATATTTCCCCACTTTTTTAAAGGCTTTTATTTGACTTTAATTTCAAGTTTTTAAATGACTTTATTTATATAAAAGTTAAAAATGAATTTATCCAATAAAGATTTAGATAAGATTTAATCTATGGTACTATCTATATTATGTAATTATGATTTTGAGACTTATTCTTTTGTTAGAAACTTCGAAAGTATATGTGAGTTTTTATAAATTTGATAAGTAGGACTTGTCTAGTTAAAAGTTGAAACTATGAAAAATAGTTTCGTTTTTGTAGTTCTAAAACTTAAAAACTGTATAATTGACTAAAGTATGAATTACTAAGAAATTATAGTATTTTATAATTTTAAATATTTGGTGTGCATTATTCTAATTATTAAATGATTTTTAGAATGATTAAGTATTTAATAAAATAATAATATTAAAAATCAGTAACTTTTTTTTTTTTTTTTTTTTTTTTTTTTTTTTTTTTTTTTTTCTTTTTTACTCCTTGGCCTTGCTTAGGCTTGTAATGCTTGAAACTTGGTCTCCACTACTGACCATGCTTTACACTTTTTTGAATATTGTAAAATACTTTTAACCTTTTCAAATTAATAACAGGAAAGACCTTATTCGGAGTACTACAACTTCTTGTCAATGATTAATGCCCAATGATAAAATTGATTTCTTTTGCTGGTTTACTCTCTAGTTTTTGCACTCTTCTTGATGGACAAGAGTCTTAAACACTCACACTCATTTTTGTATAAGAGCATTTTCATTTCCTTTTTTTATCTTTATTTACATCAAAGGGAAAGGGAAGGAGAATACACAATAGCTAGTGGAGGATGACGGGTGAGGAGAAAATAATGGTGATAAGGAGGATGGTGTTGAGATTCCCTCAAGATCCTATCCCGGTTTTGTTTCATGATTACTATCTTATAATTTTCTCTGTCATACTTCATTAATCTTTTTTGTATTTGCCTGCAAGTTAGACTTCTAAGTTTGTTGTTTTATTGTGGACTTTGTAAGATGGTTTATCATTTATTAGCAGCATTTTTTATAAGTTTATAATATTTTAAACATTTTATCTTTATGTCTTGGGGATTATGCCTCTCTTAAAAAATGCTTCTGTTTCTGATTAAGCCCATTTAAACTATGATTATAGTAAATGAACATGGTTGGGAAGAGTATTCTCAGAATATTGTAAATAACTAAGTGGGCATAATGGAAAACGTGTAGTGGATACTCATACATCTGTCTACAAGGATGTTCTTTTTAATGAAGTTGATTTGCATGCTTCATGTGTCTTCGTCTCTGATCTGTGGGAGACTGATATATGCTTGGTATTTTTTGACCCTATTAAACTGCTGAGTTGCTTTTTGTGCTGAGTTCATGGCACCAGAGTAATTAGCTGTTGATATTAGATATTCAAGGTGTAGGAGTAACTAGTAAGTGCATAGTTTCTTTTGTGTTGTTTAACTAGTATGACTAACTTGAGAAGTTTTGAGCTGATTTTCATTGGCGACTGACCAATGCTTTGTTAGTGGATAAACCACACAAATAAATTGGTTTTTGTGTTTTTTTTTTTTTTTTTTTTTTGTTTTGGGGGTGGGTGGAGGGGTGGATGTGGAGGGAGGGAGCGAGGGAGGGGATGGGATATCCATGTTTTACTCTTTGGATAAAACTAATTTAAGTTTGAAAATGCAGGAGACTTGAGATCCTATCTTACCGTATGTATGTTAAAAAATTTAATGTCTTCTGCCATGGATCATATTTTTATTGAGCCGGCTGAATATCCTGTATTTCTTTGCAAAATTCAACATTACTTTATTTAATGGTGATTTTTTAACGTAAAGGATTTCTCTGATGATTTGTTTGAGGAGCTGAGCAAATATGAACATCTTTAAGGCCTTTACATCTGCAATATCTAGGCTGATCTCATAGTTACTAATTTTCACTTCCGATTTAGAGATGAAGACTATGCTGCCAGTCCACTTCAGAATCTTAGCAGAAGGTTTTATGCATTCTAGTTCTATTCATTGTGTTATGCATCATTTATCTCAAAGAGATATTATAGTGGTTTTAGGTGTAAGATTTTGTGTCATTCTTTTAATTTGTGGATAAAGCAATAGCAATGTTTTTGTCTGGATTATAATCTGATCTATAACTAGATCACCCTTCAAAAGTGTCCATTCTTTGTGACAAAAGGTCAAAATTATTATTATTATTATTATTATCATCATCATCATCATCATCATCATCATTATTATTATTATTATTATTATTATCATTTTCATTATCATTATCATTTTCTTTATCTTTTTCTCATTTTTTGAGGGGTGGGATGCGGAAGGATGGAGCACAGGGGTGTTCTAAAGTTGTTTTCAATCCCTGATATCCAATAGATATACCTAGCAATGTTCCGAGCTCTAATAGTTTTTGTAAATTGCGCTGAGTAATTTGATCAAAAACTAAAATGGCAGGATGTGTCTTACGAGCTTGTTTAGAAAACATTCTGGTTGTATGTAATTAATTCGATGGAAGATGTAGATATAGAAGTTCTGGACTTGTGACTAGACTTGCTTGTTGAAGGAAGTTTAAAATTGAACTGCAATGGTGGAAGAGGAACAGACGCTTACAAGTTGAAGGACCGAATTTTTTCAGAAAATACAAACAAAAAAAAAAGTCCATTTTCATATTTATTTATTAACTGGTTCACTCTATTATTTGACTTGCATCTCTTTGTAACACTGGCAAACAGTTGCATTAAATTATTATTGTCTGCTTGATTTCATTCTCGATTACCCGAATAAATATTGAAATTTTTAGGGCGTCCCATTTTTATTGACTCTCCCCTGTGACGGATCTTCGTGATGCCACTTTCAGACAGTATGAGGAAAATGAATGCAATCAAGGTGGATACTGCAATTTCATGCATCTGAAAAAGATAAGCAGGTTACTTTGAAATTGAAGTGTCCTCTTCCCTTTCACGATGTAGGTTGCCAATTTATTTAGTCTATTGGTTGAAGAGAGCTGAGTGGGAATTTATTTGGGAGGAGTAAACGGAGGCATAGCCACAATAGAAGCAGAAGCTGTAGTTCTCATGCGCATGATTATGAGGAGCATTCACTTGCCATGGTTCTGGAAGAAGAAACGACCACCACCACCATCATAAAGGCCGGCCTAGATGCAGAAGTCCAGGTTGCGGAGGTGGAAGAAGCAGAAGCCGTGGGTGAAGGAGAAACAGGAGTCCAGTTAGGGAAATCAGTGTGGAAAGAAGGGCAAAATAGAGCAGTGGAATAGCAAAAGAGAGCGTTCAGAATCTGCTAGGGATAATCTCAATGACTATAGCAATGGCTTTTAACACATTGAAAACCATTCTAATCACAAAAATATACTGTCGCCAGGCTCACTGAAGCTGGGGAATGGAAGTTATAACCACTGATCAAGTGGCTTTCAGCTTTCACGGTTTGTTCTCTTGTTCTTCTTTATTTAATTAAAATTTGTCTGTTATATCCTTAATAGAAATTTCTCTTGCTGAACTTGGTTTGTTGAAAGCAAAGTTCATTGTCCTGGGATATCGAAAAAAGCATAATTGCTCATTTCTCCCTTTATTTGATGAAACTTTGATAATTGAAAAAAGCATCATAAGTCTTCTTATTCTCTTTACATGCGCCATCCTTAGTCTAATGTTTTAGAACATCTCTAAGAGATTCGCTATTTATAAAAAGCATATCATGCATGATAGAGATTAGAGGGCACCTTTAAATTTAGGGACTTTTTATATGCTCCAATAATGCTTTCTGTTTTGACTCTATTTTTTTTGCTTTTATTTATTTATTTTTTATTAAGAAACATTTATTGATTTCTCATCGTCTTTTATTTAAAAATTTTTAAAATGTCAATAGCCAATCAATTGAAATATGATTTAAATAGTTTAAGAAGGATAGTATTGAAATTTGTACCTTAGTAAATCAATCATTATAAAGTAAGAATAGTGGGTTTGGCTTTCCAAAACTCGCCAAAAAACAATAGGACTTCTATATCATGACTATGTTAAAAGATGGGAGAAATCAAGTGACTCTGTTTTGTTCTTTTATTTTCAAATATATGGTTTTTATATTTGGCTAATCCAATGGATTCTTTATTTTAAATGAAGAACGGAGAATTTCAAAGATTATATTCACTTCTCTTTTCCAGGTCAACCAGATTCTGTTCTATGCCTTCATCTGTACATTTTTTTTCCAGTTATTTCCGAAGCTTATCGATGGAGATCCTTGATATCCTTGGCACGTTAAAAGAGCACTTCTGGAGAGACTGTTCATTTTATTTCGTCTTGGGTTACTGTTCAATTGTCTTTTTCCCCCATGCAAAGCGGCGTTGTTTAGAGGTTAGCATTTGAAACCTGCCCTGTCTCTCTCATTTGATTCCCGAAGGTCTCATCCCTTTTCTTTGGCGATTTTTTCCTCCGCAAAACCATCATTTTTGGATGAATTGTTGGTCAAATATGTTGAAATTTTTCTAAATTTGTGTAAATCTTTGGAAGTTTATTGGTTCCCTACTAAATCTTCTTTTTATTTTTTTCCCAAAAACATCTACTTGTGCCCCTTTCCTCTGTTTCACTACTTCAGCCTGCTCACTGAGACAGGATATGAAGGTCACTAGTGGTCGCAATTCCTTGTATGGTTCGTGACTTTACTGGAAAAGTAAAGCAAAAAAGAACCGAAAAATAATCGAAGAAAGCTTCTTATTAATGAAAAAATTGAAGTATTTGATTTCAGTGCAAGGTTATGTGAAACTATAAATAATTGCATCTGTTTTCTTCCGATTTGTTAATCTGTTCTGCTGCCTGAAATGGTTTTGCTAGAAACACTGACTGGTAAGAATAAAGCCCCTTGCTCGGTGTACACTCCCCTTACATCAGGAGAGGGGTCCATGCCCAATTAATGAGCGGGTCCCACCCCCCCATATGAGGGGGCTGAACTGTAAGGTTCGGTGTGCATGTAGGGGTGTCCGACAGGTAATGTATACCATGTAGCTTGTGTTTGAGCCCCATTTTTGGAGATAAATAGATTTTTGTAACAGAGATTTTTTTATGAATGTATAGTTAAAAAGTAGTGAAAACTTTTGGGTTTGCTTGTAAAGTTATTTTATGGAGTAATGTGTGGTTGAAAATGAATTTGAGAAAAATTGAAGCTCAAACATGGGCGTAATATCGTTTTATTTGATGTTTAACTTGAGCCGCATGACACTTCACTCATTCATTCCTTGAACTCTCCCCTTGTAGCATAATTGGTCGATTAATCTTTGTATCAAGAAATTAAAATTATTATACAAAATTACTGTCATAAAAACCAAATAAAATCTTGCAAGAAATAAAAGTCCAACACCAATAACTGTAACATCTCATATGGCAGCTGTTGAGTTAAACATTCATTTTATTGGGGGCTAAGGTGGGAGATTGAAGCAGGAATTTTTAGAGGTGAATGAATTCGCTACAAGGAACTTTACAAAGTCGTTTTTCTTAAGACAATATTTGTCAAACTATACTTGTGATGAAGTTGAAATTTCGAAGATGCCTCAAGGATGCAATGAAACCGATTCCATCGTGGACTAACCAAAACAATACGTACACAAATGATAAATAGAACCAAAAGATTATTTATAGTTTTTCCTTTTGGAATGATAGAATATAAACCAGACTTTAAAGTAATGAAGATGCAATATATGCAAAGTATTTTTAAGGAAAAAGATAGAAAGAGAATATCAAAAAAGACGTATCTACAATCAGAAATCTTGAATTCGATATGTAGATTCTTGCCACACCTTTTCCAGTAAGTTGCAACCAGTGGTAGGTATCTTTTAGACACGAGATACACCAATGAGACTAACCCTTTTTTTATTTTTTTGATGAAATTGCTAGTTAATTTAGTTAAATATCAATTGTTATAGGATAAATTCGAGTTTGGATGACTTTAAATAAAAAGAATTACTCAGAAAATGAATGTACGTTTAACCATTAATCTTATAGTCAATAAGAGTACAACTCATTGGCGGACCACAGTGGGTCCTGGTGGGTCTATCTGCATCCGCTTATGGTACAACTAATGGAATATTCTTGACTTCAGGGGCGAAAGCTTTTCAAATTTTGATGGTTGAAGTAGGCAGTAGCTACATTACAAAAACATTTTAAAGTCTGCTCATAGTTGAAACCCATATCGAATTTTGCATGAGCCATGTTTCAAAAATATGCATACAACCACAACCGCAGTTCTGTAGACGGATCCATTTGTTAAGTTTCGACGACATCGCATCTTCGACATATGATACGTGAACCGTGGCTTAGCATTGTTGAATTCTGTAAAGAATGATCATAAATAATAAAGAAAACGTGTCATGAGTCTAATCGTTCTTTTGCCGCCTGATGGCCTTTCCTCGAAGATTAGATAATTAATCGTACGATGCCTACATTATAGTAAGTTCACACGAAATTACATCTTACTGTCAAGTCATTTCCATGAACAAATTTGAAGATATATATCAAACATTCTGAATCGAACAACATTCTTTTATACATATAGTTCTATGTACGAGTACACGCTTTCAATCTTGAACTTCTATAACTTTCAATTCTCGATTAACGCATGCTTAGCTTTGATATACAAGTCGAATTGGATATACAACTCGAATCACACTAATGAAGTTCACTCATGGTTGGTTGGCAACACTGATTTGCCAAAAACCAATCTATAAATGGAGCGAGGACAATACAAACTATTCAATCAAGAATCGACCCCTCTAATTAGAAGAAAGAAATGACTTACGGAAACAATGACGAGTAAATACATACTTTGAAATTAACTGGATTCTTTAGCGTAAAGAGACACGTTACATTATATCCTTTCAAGTATTAACTAGATATGTCATCAAATAATTCGTCCACATTGAATATTTTGTTAAATAATAGATGTTTGATTAATTGGGTGCATATTTTATCAATGAGTAATACTATCCAGCATTACTAATGTCAAGTCCAAATCTAAATGGTAATTGTATGACATTAAATAATAAATTTATTTAAAATGTCATTTCATATTTAGGCCATGGCAATTGTATGACATTAAATAATAAATTTATTTAAAATGTCATTTTATATTTAGGCCTTGTTTGGTATCCATTTTTTTAAAATGCATTTCTCTCTTTCTCTTTTTCAACCACACATACTTCATTAAAATAATATTACATGTAAATTAAATTTTTTTTATTTTTTAACCACATATTTTCCATCAATTTATTATTTCAAAATGTATTTTTACATAAAAATGGCTCCCAAACACCCTCCTAATTTAACTTTTCTAGTGTAACCATCGTCATTTATAAAGTTGGGAAGGTGACAATAAATGCGGAATATGAAACTATGCCAATAGAGAATGACCTAAGAATTTCCAATCCAATAAAAGGATAAAAAAAATTCCCAAAAGAAACAATTAATTCGCATATATAATAAATATATATTTATAAATGAATATAGAGCTTCTCCGGGGTTGGCGGGTAACAAATAGATTATCAACCTTCCAAGAAGACCAACGGTACACGGAAGACCAACCAACCAAGAACGCCCAGCACATAAAAACTAAAAGTTTCATTAGTTATAATCAACAAATCATTCTTTCCCATTTTCTTGAACGTGATGCCTCTCCATTTCCTCGCATGTTTTAGGTTTGTAAATGTATTTTTTCTTTTGTTTTTCCCTTCAAGTCATTATCGATAAACTGAAAATTTTAGTCAAATATACGTCAATGTCAAATTTTGTTTCTGGGATGTTTGTTCTTTTCCCTTTTATGTTTGAATTTGATCCTGCTGAAGTTTCCATTTTTCGTTTGTTCTTGATTTTCCAAATTTTGCATGAAATTATAGGCTGCTTGTGGTGGGTGGGCGTGAGTAGGGGTTTCTCGTTGGCAATTTTGGATTCGTAGTGTTAATTATAATTTCTCAAAAATGTGGCGTTTCTGTTTGTGGGGATGTTGATTTAATTTCAAATTTCTGGGTTATAGTAGAAATTCTTTGTTATTGGTAGTTTTGTAGAATAAAGTATATTTTCAGCTTGTTATTTGATTTTAGATGCGAATGCAGCAATTTATAGTACAGGTTTTAAAATTTTTCGTGTTCGTAATATGTTTTGCTGCAGACTCTTTTTGTCATTCAGAAGTGAAGATTGAAGAAAATTTTGTGGTTTTGTTGGCTTTTCAACCTCCTATGACTGAATCCTAGGTTTGTTGTTGCATATGTTATGTATGACATCATATGTCTCTGTCTTTCAATTTTATTTATTTTGGTGAATTTGGATATATTTATCAGGATTGAAAGAGTATAATATAACAATATTATATGGGAGAAAATTATTGTAAGACACAGAGACGAAGTCACAAACGAAGGCACATTTTTAGACAATTGTTCTTTTATCCATAACTGAACGTGCATTCTGTATATGACAATGTATTGACAAACATCGAGGCCCTTCTTGAGCTACGCCCTTAGATAACATGCCTTTTGATTTGTTGTTAGATAAAAACTCTTTTACCATGATGTGTATTAATATATTTGAATCTGAGGCATTGCAGGTGACGTGCTATACCGAGTTGCATTATGGATCATCAAGTAAAAGACCATGTTCGATTCAACAATTCAAATTTATCCAGTGGTGGTGATGTTTTTGAACCCAGTTCGAGTAATGGTGAGGTTGATGGTGCAAAACGTTTTATTTCCCCATTTGATGATTATAGTACTCTCGACTGAGACTTGTCATCCCTTGCACCGAATTTTTTTTCCATCTACAGCTAAGCAGAGGGCAACTTTGGTAGAATGGTTAAACAGCATTCTTCCGGATTTGAGTTTGCCAATAAATGCTTCAGACAAGGAATTACAAGGATTCTTGGTGGATGGAACTGTTCTGTGTCGAATTCTGAACAAACTAAAACCTGGTTCTGTGACTGAGGTAGTTTAGCATTTAATTTGACTTGCTACCCATAAGGTTTTAAATAAAGGGTAATTAGTTTATATTAATGTTTTCTTGAATTTTCTTTTCTAGTTGAATGGTTCTGGTCCTTCATATTCACAGTCGGAAAATGTTCAAAAGTTTTTGTCAGCTATGGACGAAATGGGGCTGCCGAGATTCCAAGCAGCAGATCTGGAAAAGGTAATTAGCTTTGACATAATTAAGTTCATATGTTGCACATAATATTTGAAGTATTAAGTTTGTTGGACCATGGTAAACTTGTGATACTCTCACATTGTATAGGGATCTATGAAAATTGTCGTGGACTGTCTTTTAACTCTTCAAACGCAATTTACGCCAAATGTTGGAAGATATAATGGAAGTGATGCCAGTAAAAGATGGAAACTGATAGGAGAGCGTATAGGGAGTCGTGAGGGTTCTACAAGGGAAGTTCCTTTCCAATCACTCTCTGTTTCTTCCCCAACTTCTGAAGAGAGGCGAAGGGTAGTATTGTCAGAGTCAAAGTTTCAGCGTGCAGTACGTAGTCCCACAATGGCAGGTGGTGCTTCTCTAAAAAACCGTAAAAGCTACTTTTGTTTAACTATTAGTTTCTTAAAATGTTTGGGCATGCTATTTTTTAGTTGTAAGTAAAGAAAAGTTGCTTATTTTGGAACTCTTACTGAAAAAATAAGCAACTCTAATTCAACTTTAACTATTTAGTTACTTTGGAACTTATTTACTCACAAGTAAACATTTTATTTATTTATATTTTGGTATGTAGAGCCATCAGCTGCACTTATAAATCACGTCGGACACAAGTTTCATGAAGTTTTTCAGATCAAACACGGATCTTATACAGATCTTTCTCCCGGAAAGCTTTCAGAAATGATGAAATCAAACAGCTTGGATGTGAGTCTACTAACTCATGTTCATGACAATGGACATTATTGACCTGACTATTACATATTTTTGTGCAGAAAATTCATACCCTTTGATCATTGTTTTTCTTTTTATCCTGTGCAGAATGCCCCGACTCAGTCACTTTTAAGTGTTGTGAATAGTATTCTAGACGAAAGCATTGAACGGAAGAATGGGGAAATACCTCATGTATGATAACAAGGCTCCTCTTCATAAAAACCAAAGAATTCTATTTGTTATTTATTTTTCACAATCCAACAAGCTCCTAATATGTTGTAGTTGGATAATATTCTCAGCGCGTTGCTTGCCTATTGAGAAAAGTTGTGCAGGAGATTGAGCGACGAATATCCACTCAAGCAGAGCACCTGAGAACGGTATTGTACCATGCAGGCTCAGGGTTTTGTCATGGATTGTAATATTTTGTCAACTCAACACGTCGATTTTTGCCTCTTCCTGCAGCAAAACAATCTTTTTAAGGCTCGTGAGGACAAATACCAATCAAGAATTAGAGTTCTAGAAGCCCTTGCAACAGGGACTGGTGAAGAGACACAGGTACTAAAAATTTCCCATTTTGGAGGACCAATCTTTTCTTTTCCCTTTTTGTGTGTGTGTATATTCTCTAAGAATTTCATTGTTACTATTTATCAAGTGTGGTTTATTTTTTATTTATTTTTTATTTATTTATTTTTTTTTTAATTTTTGATTTTCGCAGATAGTTATGAATCAGCTCCAGCATATTAAGGTACAATCCTTTTATTTACTTGTTCCTAAATCTGATTCTCTCATGCCTTTTGCCCTTTTATATTTGAGCATTAATTTTGGGGTTAAAAATATCCTTAAATTTCTTTAAGCTCTGCTATTTATTAAACTTTTTAGCATGCTTGCATGTAAAACTTGCACATGTGAATAAGAGATCTGATTATTTCCAAATACATAAGCAATGCTGAAGATTTTATGTTTGAATGCTTTTTTCATGAACTTATATTCTCCTTGATTGAACACCTTAATACTTTATAAAAACCAATATATGATCATTGCCTAATGTTTGCAGTTATACACGCCTATTGACTAAAAGTTTAAACTGTTATAGAGGTTAAACATATATTCAGTTAAATGTAGCTTCAACACGCCTCCTTAGGTGCGGTCCCAATTCATTTTTTTATCAAAAGTTTTTGACACGCTATTTTTCCTAAATGGGTTGCAGGAGGACTTCAACGCAGGATCTTTGTGATACTATGTTGAACCATTTCATCTAAAAGTTTAATTTGACATAGACGGGATAGAGAAAGGAAATATTTACTTATTTAAATTTAATCTTCACCATCACAATGGATGCTAGTTATGCTATAGGTTTTATCTATTTGAATGGGATTTTGATTTTACTCCATTATTCATGTGGAGTCTTTCCCTGTGTCAATTCCAGTGATTGTTTTTTCTGTTCCCTAACTTCAACACCACAGAGTGAGAAGAGCAAGATAGAAGAAAGAAAGAAAGTCGAGGAGCAAGATGCAATAAAATTGATGAAAGAGAAGGATGATCACAATCGAGAGATTGCGATCTTAAAGCAAGAACTGGAAATAGCTAGAAAAACATATGAACAGAAATGTTTGCAAATGGAAACAGAATCTACAGGATCCCACCAAGAGCTTGAGGAGAGGTTGAAGGAACTTGGGAACCTTCTTACCGAGTCAAGAAATAAAGTGAAACTACTTGAAGCATCTACAGAATCAAAATCTGAAAAGTGGAACAAGAAAGAAAACAGTTACCGTAAATTTACTGAAGTTCAGCTTGTTGCACTACGTGTAGGCCATTACAATTTTCTTTCCATTTAATAATTTCTTTATAGCATGTACTGTACCTTAACATATTAGCTTGATACGGATAAATAAATTTTTTCAGGAAATGAGGACAACCTCTCAATCGATCCATGAAGAGGTCGTTAGAATACAGAAGAGCTATTCGGAGGAATTCGGCCATTTAGGTGAAATCCGCTTCTTCACAAACTATTTAATTTATTTGTCAAAAATTAGATACTAAACCAGCACAAAACATATTTAGCTTGCAGTGGTTATGTTATAATAAGTTTCAATACCTTTTTCATTACAGGAATGAGAATGAAGGCTTTGGAAGAAGCATCCAAAAGCTATTATTCACTTCTTGCTGAAAACCAAAAGCTACATAATGAACTTCAAGAACTAAAAGGTTCGGCATATTGTTAAATCCAGACCAGTTTCGCAAACATGAACAATTCATTTTGCAATATTATTAACCAGCACAAAACATATTTAGCTTGCAGTGGTTATGTTATAATAAGTTTCAATACCTTTTTCATTACAGGAATGAGAATGAAGGCTTTGGAAGAAGCATCCAAAAGCTATTATTCACTTCTTGCTGAAAACCAAAAGCTACATAATGAACTTCAAGAACTAAAAGGTTCGGCATATTGTTAAATCCAGACCAGTTTCGCAAACATGAACAATTCATTTTGCAATATTATCGTCGTGTTGTGTTTTGCATAGGAAACATTAGGGTCTATTGCCGGATAAGACCCTTTTTACCTGGGCAGGCAGGGAAACAGTCAGTCATTGAATACATTGGTGAAAATGGGGAGCTAGTTGTTTTAAATGCTTCCAAGCAAGGGAAAGAAGGCCGTCGTTCGTTTAAGTTCAACAAAGTGTACGGTCCAACAGCAACACAAGGTTTGACATTATTTCATGGTCATATGATACTATTAGTACGTTTGCAAAGCTTTTTCTAGATTATTATAAGTTATGGATCATATGGGATGTGTAGATAAGAAGTACATAAAACCTATGGGTCTTACGGGATGTCCACATAAAAAATATTAAGTTTGAAAAAGATAAGGGAAACAAGCACTATTGACCAGCATGTTTGGCAAAAAGAAGTTGCTATCTTGTAAGCTGGGGACCTACAAATTGTGTGGATGGTCCACACAATTTGTGGGTTCGAGCTTATTAGAATGCAGCTCATTATTATTTTTTTTCTTTCCAAACATTCTCAATATGTGTTACTTATTTTTTCTTTGATCTTTCTTTATTTACCTTTTTGTTGCTTATATAATATTTCAAATTTTGGCAGCGGAGGTTTTTGTGGATACACAACCTTTGATACAATCAGTTTTGGATGGATATAATGTATGCATATTTGCATATGGTCAAACTGGTTCAGGGAAAACCTACACCATGGTACGAAAAAGAGTTTGTTTGTGTATCTATATTTTCATGTATATGTTATGTTACATATCTACAATTTGTATAGCATTTTGGAAACTAACGATATATCTCTTCAGACTGGCCCTGAAGGAGCAACCGAAAAGGATTGGGGGGTCAATTACCGAGCTTTGAACGATCTTTTCCGCATCTCACAAGTTAGGAAGAATACCTTTACATATGAAATTTCTGTCCAGATGATGGAAATATACAATGAACAAGTCCGTGATTTGCTCTCAAGTGACGGTTCACAAAAAAGATATCCTTTATGCAGTCATTTCATATTTTTCGATTTTTTTAATGTTCTTGCCAATATAACGATAAACCTCTTCGCCTCCATCTCTTTTAGAATTTCATTCTGAAGACTTCATTTTTAACAATTCACTTTTCTAATGTTTCTCATATTTTTAGTATATTAATTGTTGAACGCCTTACCTAAAAGCTTAAGCATTTAGGAAACAAATTTATATTTTAAATTTGGTCTTCTACATGCCCCTGCCGATAGAGGCAAAGGTTCTTTTTTAAATTTGGATTGCTTTTCATTTTTCTAATTTACTCTTCAATGTAAAAATTTGTTTTTCTTGATTTGCACACACTTGGGATTGTGTCTACATCCCAACCCAATGGGTTAGCTGTTCCAGATGCTTGCATTCAGGTTGTCAACTCGCCCTCTGATGTGCTGGAACTGATGGATATTGGACTAAAAAATCGAGCTACTGGTTCAACTGCCTTAAATGAAAGAAGCAGTAGATCACACAGGTTTTCTACCGAAATCTTTCCGTTGAGTATTACTTTGTTGTTTAAAGCTTAGCTAATGACTAAGACGCATGTACACAGTATTGTAACCATTCACATCCGTGCTGTGGATCACAAGAGCGGTTCTTCTTCACATGGCAGTCTTCATTTAGTAGATCTTGCAGGAAGTGAAAGAGTTGACCGTTCTGAGGTTACGGGAGACAGACTGAAAGAGGCGCAACATATAAACAAATCTTTATCTGCCCTTGGAGATGTCATCACGGCATTGGCACAAAAAAATGCTCATGTTCCATATAGAAACAGCAAGCTTACTCAAGTCCTTCAAAGTGCATTAGGTAAACTTTGTGCATATTTGGTACGAAATACTAGACAACATAATTAACAATATTTTGGTCTCTTTTTTGTTAATACTATGGAGAGCATGAAATTCTCCCTACCAAACATGTCACTCATCTTTTACGAGGCTCCATACTTTATCTTGATTATTCTAAGAAATTATTGAGTCCACAGAATCTTCCTCTCTTCTGAAATCAGTCAGAACCATAGCTTAGTATTAATGTACACTTCAAAAATCCCTTGAACCATAGCTATCTATATTTCTTGCCTTTTTCCCTTGCTTTCTCGGATTTCTACAATCCAATCACGAAGAATCAAAAATTATATTATATACATTGAATAAATCAATGGAGGTTTAACAAACTACTGACTATATGCACTAAACTGAATACAACTATGATGTTAATGAAATTTGCATTCGTATGAACTGATTAAGTGAAACTAGACTATGGGTGATGTTGTCGTTATTTTTCTTTTTCATTTTATAATAATTTGAAAATTTTATATGAGATGATATTTTTATTTTTTCAATTGAAAAGGAAATGATTACTTAGAGAGGCAAGTAAATTTAATGAATATGGATTATCTTTATTTTGTATTGTTGCATATTGACTTTTGCTTATGTGGCACAGGTGGCCATGCAAAGACGCTTATGTTTGTACAGCTTAATCCCGAAGTTACTTCGTGTAGTGAAACCATAAGTACCTTAAAATTTGCGGAAAGAGTTTCTGGAGTTGAGCTTGGTGCTGCGAAGAGCAGCAAAGATGGCAGGGATGTCAGAGAATTGATGGAACAGGTTCTCAATTTCTATGCATAACTCTTTATATCTGATCACAATTTTTTTGATATTCTGGTTAAGATGTTTAAAACACCTGAAAACCACAATGAGATTAGTATTTACTGTTGGCAAAAAAGAAACTTAAAAGTAACTATTACTTCTTTTAAGCTAAAAATTAAGCTTTGTCCCTGCAGGTAGCATCTCTTAAGGACACCATAGCTAAAAAGGATGAGGAGATTGAGAGGCTGCAGCTGCTAAAAGATCTCAAAAATGTGTCCCCCTCGATGAGGTATGGATCTACTTCTCCGAGCAAATATTCCACGAGTGGGACTCCTCAGAGAAGCTTAAAAATATTGAAAGGATTGGAAAAAGCAGCTTCTGATGAGGAAAACTACTCAGAGGGTAGAGATAAGCATTCCGTAAATAGTTTTCAGAAAGATTCTCCTGGGCGATCAAATGTTGCTGGAGAGAATATAGGTCAGAATTTCTCTGCAGATGCTGAGGTCTTAGGTTACAGCAATGCAGATAATGAAGAGAGACATGGGGATATATCTGATAGTGTTCTTTCTATGGGAACAGAAACTGAAGAAAGCAGTCTTTCTCCGGAGGAAGCAAAAAAAGCTGAGAATACTGATAAGTAAGTGCCATGAAATCTTCATCATATAAATTCGTTTGGTTTCTGTCGAACCCTTAGGGCCTGTTTGGCATAGCTTTTAAGAAGGCAAAAGTTATTTTGAGACTAAGAAATTGCTTTTTGGCTTGTTTGATAATTTTCTAGAAATGTTGGGTCTCATGTAAGAGGAAGTCAGTTCAAAGTGGCTCTCTTCCTCGGGGAGTTTTTTACTACAAAAGCCAGAAAAGAAACAAAAACTATCCCAAACAAACTCTTAAAAATGAGACTTCTTCTTAAACAAGATTCTATTATAATTGTCTGAATATCATTTGCAGCTGTGTAAACACAATGTGCGCACGTTTCTTATGGTTGTTTTTGAACCTTGTTAGTGGCTGCGCACACATCACAAATATGGCGTGGTGTTATTAGAAGTTGAGATGATTGTAATTTTATCAAGTTGTCTTAGATTCATTGTTTCCTCAAACATAAAGGAAAAGTAGAGATTGTGTAGATATGTATTAATCGAATTTGATCACATTCTGTAATCTTGTGTGATGATTTCTTTCAGACCTAAATCAGAAGCTAGAATTCAACGACCCCCGGTAAAATCGACGAGGGATTCTCTCAAGGGACAAACTGGTATGAATTGATTACGCTGCATTATATTTAAACTCTGTTATTATCCATGAATATAATGAGCCGGTTTTTAAGCATTTTTTCGCTTCATTAATGTAAACTCATGTTTGCTCTTTCAGAGTTACGAAAATCTGCCAGTGGAACGAATTTATCGAGCAAGATTTCAAGAAGATGGCAATAATAATAAAATAGTCGCATTTTTTCCTTTTTCTTTTCCGTCTTTGTGGTGTATGATCACTATTTTGATCCACCGGCACCATTATTTCTTTTCGTTCCATTTCACTGTGTACCGGTTGAAAATTTTCCTCTTTTTTTATTAACTTTCAATTTTTTAAAAGGGCTATCGTATAGTCCTTTTATGGCAGTTTTATAATCTTCTTTGTAGGTATTATTTAACCTTTTTGTAACTGTACAGTTCTAGAAAATTGTACTTTTAGCAACTCAATTTATACCATGCAAATAAAAGTAGAAAATTTATCTCTAGCTTAATTAAGCGTGTTGCTTGTACATGTTTGATTCATCTGGATGATAATGGACAATGTTGATACTCGGATCTGATTGGGACTTAGCGCATATACATATTTCGTCTCCACTACTCTCATGCATATGTCACTTACCCAGTTGGAGCTAAGCAAAGGACACTTAGAGGGACGAGGATCCCTGTGCCGGAGAACAAGGCTGCAGCAGAGAGCATAAATGTATCGGATGCTCTTGAGGAGGTAGACGACTCCTAAGGCTGGCACAGGATAGTCGACCTAGCAGAAGGGCAAGGCAAAGGTGACAGCGGCCCAAGCTCCTCAAAAAATCCAACTTCTGATCGAAGCTATTGATGCCGCTATTGAGGAGGCGGAGAGTCTGAAGGAAATTGATGTCAATGCACAAAGAAGGATGCTAAAGGGTCTCACCAGCAAATGCTGGCTGTATCTACTAATGGGGCCATTGTACTTGAAGATTTTTACCCGCCACAAAGGTTCAGAGAACCGGCAAAGTCGAGGCCTAGAAAGGTGGTGTGACGAGGCAGCTTACAAGGAAACAGGCGGTGGAGTTGATTAGGGTGTACAGATCTGACCCTGAAGCTATTTCCACCCCCATACAGTTGCCGGAGCTTGTGCCTTCCAAGAGCATTTTACAATGAGGTGGCTAGGCTTTGAATTTTGCTAGCCTGCAACAAGCTTTAGAGGCCATCCCGGGGGGGAAGGGGGGGGGGGGTCGAAGCCAACCAACTAAAGAAAATGCAAAAATGGAATGAGGCAAAGGCCAAGCCATCAATGCCTCAGAATTCGAAAAGATTACGGGGGTTGCAAGGTATCTTCTAAGAACGTGGATGCCTCAAAAGTTGCTCAAGACATAGCCTCCCAGGCCCTAGAGTAGGCCAACAAGAAAAACCAGAAGCTGGAGGTGGAGGCGAATGTCCATGATAAAGAGAATGAGGATTTGAAGTTCAAGCATAGAAGGAGGTCAAGGAGAAAGTGGCCTTCTAGACAGTTGGAATCCCTGAAACATAAGAGAATAAACTGAAGGAAGAGGTGGAGGTACTGAAAGCCATGGTGAAAGCAGTTGCAGAGGAAAAGAAATACATTGAACTTGTATGGAAAGTTTTGCTAGCCAGGGCCATCATGAGGTCTTGGACTGATTATGAGCTGCAGAGCACCACAGATGGTTCGTCAGAGGCGTTTAGCCACTCATTCCAAGTTGAGAGCTTGTGTAGGTTAGGTTGAGGATATCACCCCCTAGTTGCTCCCCCCCCCCCACAAATCATGTTCTTTGTCGAGGCTATAGATTAAGGATGGTAACCCCTTCAAATAGGTGGGTAGCTTCCTCATGACGATGCCTCCTTAAATAGGGCAACACGTTGAGAAGGGAACCATGCAATAGATGGGTGGCTCCACTATGCTGACACGTCTTCAAATAGGGCAATAGGGTAAGGATGTCATGACACCCCTAAAATACTTGGTTGGCTCCCCTATGCCTTGTACTTTCAAGTAAGGTCAAATGTTAAGGATAGAACCCCTTCCAATAGTCGGGTGGCACCCCTATGTCAATGCGTTGCTTATCATGATGAGTTTTGGATAGCTACGAGGACAATTCTTTTACAAGGGCCAAAAAATTCACTTTATAATATTAGTTATAGTAAGACAAATTCACATATTTTTTACTAGAAAAATCATAGAAAAATGATCGAATCTTTGGACGCTTCGAAAATACTATGAGGTGCTTGGAAATGATCAGGGAGGAAGATAAGATACTTTGCTGCACTCATTGATCAAGTGCCTTCTAAAGGAACTATTACATAAGAAAGAAAAAATCACAAAAATTCTGTTTCATGATAAAGATGAGCTGATTTCTAACTCTGTAGCTTAGAAAGAATTCAATTCCTTTTGCGAACTTCCCAAGACAATGCCTAAGTAAGAGGCTAGAAAATACTTGCTTAATTTGGACCACTAGACAAATACGTGTACATATAGCTTGATCTACTGGCGCCCCCTTCAAGAAGAAAAACTTAGGAGATGCGAGAAAATACCTCTTCCGTTTCTTCATGGGCAGGGACCCAACCGTTAATTTTTTCTTTGCTTCTAGTTATTTTTTCTACGAGAATAAGACCTTTTCAAGGGAAAGTACCAATCCTCTTGTGAAATGGGTAGACTTTTGACATATCTTTTACTATGGGATTCGCTCATGGTTAAAGCATTATTTTCCATAGATGGGGCTAATCTATTGACCTCTGAATCTAATTAGAACTAGAGTGTCAACAGATGCCGCCTCCACTCCTCTCTAAGTGCATGTAACATATGCACTTGGAATGTACGCATTAGACGCGCAAGATCGAAACATCTCCAAACACAAACGACGGAGGAGGTCGTGATCTTAAGTTTTCCAATGCTCGTTAAAATGAAGAAGAAAACATGAGAGTCGGGTGAGAGAATTATCAAGGTTGCAATTGCCTGTAACAAACTACTATTTACACACACACACATAGAGAAGGGGGGGGGGGGAATGAGCCGAAGCTCCTTGAACACTTGACACGTAAGCTCGTCCAAATGTCTCATTGGTCAAGCTCCATGTTGTTACCATGTCACATCCTAGGCATCAATTGGTCTGCCACCTTGCAAACTGTCCTAGTGGAAAAGGTGAGATTTAACTCCCAACTACTACTGCAGAAGACGTCTTATCAATCACATCTCATGTGACTCCATGTTGTCACGTGAAAAATCGCATGAGGAGCCTTTGAAGTGGTACAACTACCTCGGATATGAAAGTCTCGCCTACCGAGGCTAAAGGTTGTGGCCCTCTGACTGGCTTGGAGCCACTAGTTGAAACTTCTATTATAAATTAAATCGCCTTGAAGATATTTGTCGACGAGGCGTTCGGCTATGCCTTTAATGTCTCAAAAAACAAAGTTTGACAATGAGATAGGTGTTCCTTCATCGCCTTAAAGGATGTTAGATATGGCCTCGAAAGTACTTACATGGCATTTTTCTTAGCTGGACACCATGTGACTTGCCTCATAGGCAGAATCATAACTAACCAGATTTTAACTTTTTTTAAAAGAAAATTGATAACTGTTTTTCTAATTCACAAAAGAATGAATTCAGGTGATAAGAGTGTTACCATGAGGGATGGCTTCGAGATACGGTTCCAATCAAATAGATCATCAAGTTAGATACTTTATCGCTAACAAGGTAACTTATTTTAGGGTAAAAAAAATGGATGAGTGGACTTAATAGTTAAAGTTGCTTGTAGATATGAGACAAATGAATCTAAAGATTAGATTATGGTTCATTTCTAATCTTGGCATTTATTTTAGAGGTTGTGTTTGGTGTAACATAGGGATGTTCACATCCCTCACATGCTGTGGGACCCGACTGACACCCCTCACCTTGGTCCCATCTCATCTAAGGGCTGTGGACGCCTCTATGTACATATTTTATATACATCATGACTTATTCTTCATTTTATTACACAACATATGAGGAAAAAAAAACATTTTTGTATTAGTTTTAGAAAATGAGGCAATGTGTAAAGTGTCAGAAAGGGCTGCATTCACGCACTTCATAGTCAAAATCACTTGTAGATATGAAACGAGTGAATCAAAAGACATTATTTGGTTCATTTTAAATCTCGATGAAGTCCATTTTATTGCACAACATAGGAGGAAAAACGCTTTTTGTAGATATTTCAGAAACATGGTAACGCTAAAGTGTAAGATTGGGCTTGAAAAGAGTGGATCGTGGATGGATGCAAACTTGATTGTCAAAGTTGCTCATATATACAAGATCAATGGATCAAAAGACTAATTATTTCATTCTAAATATAAATAATCCATTTTATTAAACAACATCAAATGAAAGAATCATGTTTGTATTGATTTCGGAACATAACATAACGTGTTTAATGGTAAGATCAAGCTTGAAAAGAATGGACGGGCATGATATCTAATATCCAAAGTTGCTTATAGATATAAGACGAATGAATCAACAGATGATAAGTTGGTTCATTTTAAAATATCGTTAAACAATTTTATTGCATGATACAACAAAAACAAAAAAAACAAAAAAACAAAGAAAATCCAATGCCCTTTTTAAGAAAACAAGTAGAGTTGGATAAATCAGGCATTCTTTAAGGATTCTATATTTATTATAAGAAAAAATGACATGATTTTTCAGTTTCAATAGTATAAATCACTAAAAAGCAAATAAAAACAAATAGTGATTATAATAAATTTCTATTGGTTGTTTGGTTATTTCTTAGCATTCTTTGTTTTGCTAGTTTTAAAAATAAACGAAATGACACCATCAGGGCGGGTTGGAGCTCCCTACGTTTGCTAGATTTGACATAGATATTATACCGTGGGTCATTATTTTTGACAGATTTTTTCTGTACGAACAGCAAAATACCAGTAATTTTATGTGGCTATAAACATGGGGATTAGAATAGAAATTTATTGGTTAGTCAGTGGCTAGTGGTCCAAAGTTACAATAAAGTCATACAAAAACAAATACTGATTTGAAATGTAACAAGCAACCAACCTCAAAAATTTGAATCACTAATATAAAAAGTGAATTCTTTTACTCTATATATATATATATATATATATATATATATATATCTGCCCGAGTTCAAATATATTGACAATAAAACTTATTAGTCTGTTTTAATTCTATTAGAAAATCTAACAATGATGATCAAAGCGAATGTAGACTAAATGTTGCCTGCTATGGACGAAAAACGATTTGCATCGCTTTTTAATAAATTTAGTGCATCCGGCCAAACATAATGATGTAAAAGTTTCAAGTATTTAGACCTTAAAATTGTGTGTGTGTGTGTGTGTATCAATCAAGAAGTTTCATGTTCGACACATTAGAGATAGAGAAGCGGCCTAAACCATGACCAAAGAAAGAATACTCATCCATCTCTTTGAACAATAATTTTTATTTAATTCTTTCGAATAGAACACGGCTACATGAGATTATTTAGATGCATTAGAAGCGAAAAAAAAAAAAAAAACTTGGTCAATATGTGTAAAAAAATTCGAAATTATTGTGGGGTCATGTGAATCCGCCCTTGATCATAGGTTTCTAGCCAAACACGCCAAGTTCATATTGTTAGGATCAGTTTGAAAGAAAATTGGTTCGATTAAAGACGTGAACTACCTTGACCCATAGTTAATTGATTTTCAAGTTGGATGACTAACAAGTTTAGCAGATTTGTTATCGATAATTAATGAATAGTCATACATGTTGATTATTGATCAATGATAATTGTGATGGCCACATATGTTAATTATTAGATACTTGGGGGAATTTCATGGTCCAAAGCTTTCAAGAATTTGATTTAGAACGTCGTAATAGGCCAACTACTATATGCATAAATTTCTCTCGTCTTTATGAGTTCTTAGATAAATAAATAATTTTCAAATTTTAACGTGGGTATTCTTGTAATTTCACTCATGCAAAATTATCCTCATTTTTTTTCGAACGAAGGGCTGTGTTTCATTACACTGTCACATACATATGATAAGGTTTATAAGGTGGCAAGCAAAGATAGGCCCCAAGGGATAAGACAGCAATCCATTTACAATCCTCCAATATGTGGTCAGAAGAATGAACAGTCATGGCTCATGAGATCCAACGGTCAAATTTCATCAAAATTGAATTAAATTGAATTGAGACCCTTGGATGAAAAATCTAATATTAGCCAATCAAAAACAAGGGCAAAATTGCATATATAGGGTGAGGTAGAAGCACAATATTCATTCAATAAGGTCACTTTGTGTGTGCACCCAACAAGAACTAACAATGGCTACCTCAATGATCTCCACCTCCGCCGTTGCCGCTGTCAACCGTGCCGCCCTGGCTCAGGCCAACATGGTGGCTCCTTTCACCGGCCTCAAGTCGACTTCGGCTTTCCCCGTTAGCCGCAAGAATGTTGACATCACGTCCATTGCTAACAATGGTGGTAGAGTATCTTGCATGAAGGTACTCCAATACAACTACTAGTACACTTGGTATAAGTGCTTTTTTCGCAAAAAAAAATAAGCCCCTAAAATAATTTAAGTCGAAAAAAATAATTTCTATTCGGATAATTGTACAAGTACGTTTGTAGGATTACTATGATTTTGCTTAATTTGAGATTAGATATTCAACAAATATCATTATATTTTGCTATATGTGGGTGGTTTAATTAATCTGCAGGTGTGGCCACCACTTGGTTTGAAAAAGTTTGAGACTCTTTCGTAC